TTAAAGAAAATAAAAGTGGTGCAACTAATCCTAACAGAACCAGCTTGTGCATACTACCATTGAACCCTTTCCAGGGTTCTCTCTTATCATTTTACAAGAACAGTTTAAGCACCGCTGTCCTATATCGTTAGATTTAGAATCAGATCTAACATAAAAGGCAACCTTTATCTCCCCTGGTTCCTGCAAATAACAAAGGATAAAAATCATAGAGTTTTAGAGAAGAGAGAGACGCTAGCAAGCGTCAACCCTATCCCTTCATCATACAAACAAGGAAGTTATGTGCAAGGTGGCATGATTTATTTCAGGACACTCAGAGTGATGGGACAGCTGACATTCAGATCCATTTTCTGATTCTCAGTGCATATGAGCGCTTTTCACACTGACCACCTTCCCTTCAGAAATCCATAAATATTTTCCAACAACAACTTTACACAGTCACTTTAAGAAGTGATCAATGTTACATCAATCTTTTTAAATATACTACTTATTGGTAATTATTCTCCAAAGATAACTTCACAGTAAGCGTTCACCTATTCCTTCATGCATTCACTCAACAAATGATTTTAAGGGATTATTACGTATAGGGAACTGCACTGTGCTCCATGGGGCCAGAAAGATGAATCAGACGTGATTCTGAGCTTGAAAAGCTTCAGTCTAGTAGACTGAAAAGCTAGAACAGGCATTAGAAACCTATAATTTGAGTAAAAGCTAAGAAATGTTTTTACTTTTTGCTAAAAGGGTACAAACATATGCAAATTTCAACACAAAAAGAGAAAATGTAGTTTTCATGCGGTTTTAAGGATTTCTTATTTATGCAGAAAACCTGTAAATGACTAGATATTTATGGAATAAAGTTTATTCTAAAAAAACATAATGCTAAATGTTTGTTCTAAAATTTATGCTAAATGCCAAATGTTTGTTCTAAAAAAAAGACTGAAAATATATTATAACAATTTGGGGTTTTGCATACTGCCTTTAAAGTTTCTTCCATATCTGAGACAGAACGATCCTTTGTCATTTTCTCTCATCTCCTTATGTAAAAACCTAGATTCATAATTCAGCTAAGTTTAGCAAATAGTTTAATGTTTTTACATTACAATGGGGTCACTAAAAACTGTTTAAATGAGAACAAACCAGAAGCCAGCAAATAAGTCAAACATCTCCAACCAAATGTTTTAAACTGGGTTTGAGTTCCACTGGTTGAATACAGAATAGCGAAAAATTAGGGTCACTTACAACACCTGAGTCAGTGAAAGATAGGAATTTAACTTACCAGAATCTGGTGTGATTTTTACACCATCATAAAATCAAAATTAATTTCCACCAAATGTTAGGCCATGTTAAAGCACCAAATTAATATACTCTCTCAGCAATTACACGACCACAGGAATGTACACCAAGCTCACAGAGGCCTCACAGCCTTTGCAATTCTTGTCCCTTCAGCCTAGGATGCTTCTGCCCAAGTGACTTCTTGCCATTCCAGTCTTGAATGTCATCTCATCAGGGAGGCCTTCCCCTCATGCAATCTAAAAAACACCCCTCCCCAGTCACTATCACATCATGCTATTTTACTCTCTCTCTGTTCTTCTCATAACTTTAAAACATGTTTATCTGCCCCAGTGGAAGGCAAGCATCCTGAGCACAGGCATCTTAGGAGTCGTGCTCACTACTGCAACCTCAGCGCATGGCAGAACCTGATAGGCACTCAGAAATATTTGTTAATTGAATGAACGGTGCCTAGGAAGTCAATAAGTACTAGATCAGGGACATCAACTTAAGTCCACAATAAAACTCCTTGAAAGAAACTATTTCCAAAAAAGATACGAATATATGCTCAGAGAACTTGTCTGTTGATTTTGAATAAAGGCAGCCCTTCTAAGAAAATCCTACTGTAAGTATACTCCTAACAGCATATCTGAAATTCAACAGGTAAAAAAAAATTGCCTAGCAAATACTTCCTTTTTAAAGTCAGGGCCATATGAGCGAATGAGCAGCTTCCGGGCTGTGATGTTCTTGGCCATTTAAAGAGCATAGAGCTCAGGCCGGCCCCGTGGCTGAGCGGTTAAGTTAACGCACTCCGCTTCAGCGGCCCAGGGTTTTGCTGGTTCGGATCCTAGGCGCTGACATGGTACCGCTTGTCAGGCCATGCTGAGGTGGCATTCCACAGGCCACAACTAGAGGGACCCACAACTAAAATATGTAACTAAGTACTGGGGGGATTTGGGGAGAAAAAGCAGAAAAAAAAAAGATTGGCAACAGTTGTTAGCTCAGGTGCCAATCTGAAAAAGATAAAATAAAAATAAAGAGTATCAAGTTATATTTTATTTATTATGTTTATAATGTTTCCCTTAGGTTAGCATGGGTTCTTAGAAAGAACAAATTTAGAACTGTCTTCTAATTAAGGGATGTGAAATTTGAGAACATTTTGAGTAGAAATTCCAAACTATAAATCAAGACTTGACATTTAGGATCTTGGTAAATAGGGGTAAGGTTAGTTAATACCTAAATTAAAATGTTCTCAGCAGCCTATAGATATAAATCTTTGAAGAAATTTAGCTATTCCAAATCACAGCCTAAGACTGTGCACCTTGACTCTGCAGAATAACACTAATTGTGTTGGCAGTCCTGCTGAGCTTCCAGCTTCTCTCTGAAAAATTCTGGATAAGAAGTCAATCCCTCTGTTTTCCCATGGTTGAACAAGGAAGCACAATATCTCAGGAAAACTGATGAACCGTTTATCCGTTAGTCAAGCATTTACTATGTACCGAGTTCTTAAAATAGGTGTGTAGAGTTTAATTAAATTTACCTGCGTTACCAATCTCAGTCTTTTCTTCTGAGTCCAATTTCCTTCTTTCTTAAGTAGATCCTTTAAAAGTTCCTTTAGTGAAAGTATGGTGGTAGCCAATTCAGTTATTTGTCCAAAAATGTTATTTCACCTGTATTCTTGAATAAAATTTTAGCTGGGTAAAAGTTTTAAGGTTGGTAGTTACTTTCTCTGAACGTTTTATAATTTCAACGTCTTCAGGCCTCCATTGCTGTTACTGAGTACTGTGAACTGTGGCTCTTTTACAAGCAATTACCTATTCTTCCCGTCCCCTATCAAGATACTCTCTTCATATTTCATTTTCTGCACTTTGACTATGATATATCCAGGTAAAGAAGTTTTATCTATTCTGCTTGGAGTTTTATTGTGCTTCGTAAAGCTGAGAAAGCAGGCCTTTTGTCAATTCTAAAAAATTCTCAGTCAGTATGTATTTGAACTGATAACAGCTGAGAACTCTCTACTGTCCCTGGAGCTCCAACTAGATTCATTTTACACCTTCTCATTCTATACCCCACACTTCCCAACTTCTCTTTCATCTGTAACTACTGCTACTGCGTCCGGTTAATTTCCGAGCTCTATCATTAATTTACTCTTCAAGAAGTGCCTAATCTACTACTTAACGTGTCCATTGAGTTTCTAAATTTCAGTGACTACTTTTTTCCTTTCTAGAGATTGTTTCTTTGCCAATTCTGCCTGGTCGTTTTTACAGTTTCTTTCTTGCTCACTTTTTCAATCCACTCTTTTATTATTAAAACATTCTAAAATGAATTTAAAGAGTAAATCTGGGGCCGCCCTGTGGCCGAGTGGTTAAGTTTGCGCGCTCCACTTCAGTGGCCCACGGTTTTGCTGGTTCAGATTCTGGGTGCGGACATGGCACCACTCATCAGGCCATGCTGAGGTGGCGTCCCACATGCCACAACTACAAGGACCCATAACTAAAATATACAACTATGTACTGGGGGGATTTGGGGAGAAAAAGCAATAGAAAAAAAAGATGGGCAACAGTTGGTAGCTCAGGTGCCAATCTTTAAAAAAAAAAAAAAAGAGTAAATCTGATGGATTCCAATAATCTGAAGTCCTTGTCGGGAGGGGGCTCTATACCTGTTGCTGGTTGTTTTGCTGTAACTCTGATGTGGCTTGTTCCTTCCTGGGTTCTGTAATTTTGGGTGATAGACTCATATTTGGAAAACTAACCTGGAGAAGTCTGAGAAGGCAGGTTCAAAGTGCCTTCCTCCAGAAAGGCCACACCCGCGCCTCTGCCCCCTCTACCGGGCACTTCCAGTCCAGGATCACTTTATCTCTTGACTTTGAATTTCCCGGACCATACAGGTGGTATAAATTCAAACTTCAAATCTGTATTTAAAAAGAGCTCTGGTCACTAATTCTCAGGCAGGACATCTACCTGGACCCGAGGGGAAGAAAGACGAAGCTTCATGGCAGCACTTCGCTGGTGGGTGGATTTCTCCTGGGGGCCCCTTGGTAAGATTACGTAAGGTTCAGTTACTTTAAGAGTCCTGGCTTTACACAGGGATCTCAGCTCCATTTCCCCACCCTGGAAAGTCTAGTCTTCTGTCTAGAACAGATAATCAAACACAGGCTCTGGGGTGTGGTTTGGACAAAGGCCCTTAGGGCAGCCTCAGTGCTGGCTTGATGACCACAGACCTTCCTCTTCACTGACCCTGGGGAAATTCTTCATATCCTCGAGCTTGCGGGGGAAACATGTAATGGGGGTATGATAGGCATTTGTAAGAGTTTTACAGAATTTTTCTGAATAGTCCATTATAGTGCCAGAAGTTCACGGTGGCATAGAGGAAGATTTTACAGCATACCGCTAAAGATTAAACATCAAGTTGTTCTCCACTTTCACTAAAAAGTCCCTTTTAAGAGCTATATATAACCTGATATTGACATAAAATCTTCTTCACAAACAGTGTTCTTAGGAGCAGGGTTTCCCACTTCTGCCTCCAGATCAGAATATGAAGAGGTAAGGACTGCCCAGATTAAAATATATCAGATCTTAGTTACAACAGAGTATTTTTTTAAAAAGTTTCTTGGGGCCAGCCCCATAGTGTAGTGGTTGTTTGGCATATTCTACTTTGGCAGCCTGGGTTCATGGGTTCAGATCCCGGGTGTGGACCTACACCACTAGTCAGCCATGCTGCAGCAGTGACCCACATGTAAAGTGGAGGAAGATGAGCACAGATGTTAGCTCAGGGCTAATCTTCCTCAGCGGAAAAAAAAAAAGTTTCTTGGACTATTCACAGCGGGAAAGGCAAAGTGAGCATTGTAAGATATTTTCAAATAACTGAAAAAAAAAAACTAGAAATGGATTTTAAATTCTGATCATTATTATTCCGTCAAGTAACAATGGAAAGAGTCAAAACACAGCCCAAGTTTAGCATAACAGTGTAAATGAGGAGGGCAGGCTCTCACTACATAAAGCCAGGCCAGCAGGAGACGTAGTGTGGTCTAGCCCAGAGTAGAAACAGTGGAAGTAGGGCCCTGGCTTCTACCTCACCCTCTACTACTAAGAGCCTTTGTAATTTTAAACAACTGACTAAGCTGTGAAACACTCTCTGGTGCTTTCAGATTAGAAATATGCACATGGTTGTCAGTTAATACAAAATTATCAACATTTATTACAATTTGGACGTTAACTTTAAGACATACACTATTTAGAGCAAACAGAAAGTTGAATCATTAAGGAAATAAAAAGGAAGAGAAATTGCTTTAATGCCATAAATACAAAATAAGACAGAGGGTAAATTGCTTTAGCCAAAGTCCCTAAGAACGGTGAAAAATAAATACCGAAGAACCTGGTTTCAACTTGCTGTTACTCAGCCTTCTCTATTTGCACAAATCTACACGAGCAAAATATATGAAGCTAGTTAAACTCAAAGGTCAGGATTTACTATTTGTTTACTGGCATAGATGCTGAGGAATGCCTCATGGAAAACACAGCAGGCTATCTGAAACTTTTCATCTTTACAAACTTCAGAAGCTAGCAAATTCTTGTCTTCTATCACATGTTGACAACGTGGGCATTTGAACAGCTTTCTTGTGTCCAATTTTCAAACACAATAGAAAGATGCAAGACCTTAAAATGTCCCTACACTCGAAGAGCAGAGTCTAGTCCCATGCTGCCAAATAAGATAGCAACTATTTTGGACTCTCCACTGACTTTCATCTTTTCACAATATTGTTGGCATTTCTTCTTACAAATAATCACCAATACCCACAATTCTGAATATCCTGCCCTACTCATTTATCTATCTATCCAACCATCATTCATTCTAACCACCATTTATTGAATACCAACCATCATGTACAACACCAATATCTCTGGCATCTAGCTCAAGGATCAGCAAAAGTTTTCTGTGACATAAATATATCAGAAGCAGTAAATATTTTAGGCTTTGTGGGCCCATGATCTGTGTCACACACTCTTCTACCTGTTTTGTTTTTTTTTTTAACAACTCTTTTAAAATATAGAAACTGTTCTTTATAGCTTAGGGGCCTTACAAAAACAGGCCAAGGTTTGGACTTGGCCAACTATCCATGACTTAGTGGATGCCTGATAAGTACTGTTGAATAAGATTTAGTCCTTTCTCTCAAAAAAGCTCACAATGCAGTGGAAGAGGGAACATGTAAACTAGTGATTTAATAGCAGACACTATGTGCTATGAATGAGGGATGCATAAGATAATAATGGGGTAACGCTCAATAAGTGCTAACAAGTGCCAGGCACTATTCTAAGTGTTCAACACATATTAACTAATTTACTCTCAAAAGAATACGCCTATAAGGTAAGTTCTATTGTTACTCCCATTTTACATATGAGAAAACTGAGTAATACAGAGATATTTAGTAAACTGCCTAAGGAGACCTATCAGCAGAGTGAGGCTGAATTTTTACCCTGCAGAGTCTGCCTCTGGAGCAAGCCCTGCATTTGACCTGTCTGCTAGGATGCTAACGGGGCATGGAAGAGGTGCAACATCCAAATCAGACAACAAAGTCAGAGCAGGCTTCCCTGAGAACGAGAAACAAGTGAAACAAAGAATATGGAGGTGGAAAAGTAGAGAAAAAGGTAGAACATGGGAGGGAAAGAGGTGTGCTATTCATGCCAAGTCTGGGAAACAGCCGATGGTTAGAGTGAAGAGGGGAGGAAGCTTTGGGAGGTATGGTTAGAAAAGGGGGCAAGGACAACGTCATCAACTTCCTGGGATTGAAGTGTCAACTGCAACTTAAAATAACTTGAAGTTTTGTCCTTAAAGCTGTGTGGTTTTACACAAGAGTAATATAATAAAACAACGTTTTAGTAGTTTACTTAGCTGTACGAAAACAGGTTACAGGAAGTAAGTCTGAAAACTGAACCATCACATGACCCCAAGGCAAGAGCGGAGGCTAGAGCTAAGGCAGTGGCCATGAGAACGGAGGAGGAAAGGCTGTGAACAATGTGGAGAAGGAAGTAATTTAAATGCTCACTTGAGTGAAGGAGATGAGCAGAAAGACCGCCAGCTTCAGGCTTGAGCCACTGAGCAGGTGGTGGTGCCCCAGAGGAGAACGTGAGGACAAGGGGGCAGGATGTGGGAGTGAAGGAAAAAGAATGAGTCTGCATATGTTTAAGTGGATGTTCCTTTGGGAGAGGCTCAGCAAACAGTGAATTCACAGGTATGGAATAAAGAGGAAAAGACTCCATCTTCTTCCTGGATCAAAGGATTCGTCAATATACTCCTCACTCCAGAATGACCCCACACACGAGGCAATCCTCCATCTCACTTACAAACTGTCGCTTCTATCCCTCACCCTAACCATACCACAATTTTCTTAGGCCTCCACAGTGACGAAAAACTGTCCTCAGATGAATGCCAAGGATCCCTATGTCTTCAAGCTTGGACTTTCTTTATTCAACCGCATTCACTGTTTGCTAATCGATCACCTTGCCTGGTGTATGAAAGAATGCCTGCAAAGGACAGGAGCACAACGAAAAAAGATACCTAAAAAAGATCTGTGTTAACAGTTTTGTTGCAGACTCTAATCTAAGCAAATGCTCATTACATTTTTCGTCCCCTAGGATGTGGGGCGGAAGACATACAGAGTGGAAGGTAAGTAGAAGTTATAGCAAGGATAGTGTCATTTTAGGTTCTAGACTGCATGGTGAAAGATAATGTTGCCCAAGCAGAGTGGTCAGCTTAAGGAGATATTTCCATGCATCATGCTGAGCTAGATTAGCCTGAGCTAAATTTGTATTCATATACGTTTTTGGGGGTGGAGTGGAGGTAATATCATAAACGTAGTCTTCTGTTGCTCAGTGGCCTTTATTACACCTTGTGCTAGATCACTGTTTCTTAACCTTGGCACGATTGATATTTCAGGTCGGGTAATTATTTGTTGTGGGGACTGTGCTGTGCATTGCAGGATGTTTAGCAGCATCCCTGGCCTCTAACCACTAGATGCCACTAGCGCCCTTCTCCCCGCTACCGGGGCAATATGTGTCCAGACATAGTCAAGTGTCTCCAGAGGGGCAAAATTTCCCTCATTTGAGAACACCGTTTAGACCCATACAAATTGACTTAACATCCTCCTTTCCGTGCTTCTCTTTCCAGCTTTGAACTCTCCTCTTCAACTAATCCTGAATCCTGGAATGCTCTTCCACTTTCAGCAGGCCAATCTTTTGTTACTCAAACAACTCCTAAAACTCCCTTTTTATAAATCTCAAGCACCACAATTATGTCCCAAGATTCCAAAAGTGTGAATATTTACATGCTTCTGGAAGGCATTCTCCATGGATCTGATTTTCGGTTTGCCAGTAAATTTGCCTAATGACATGCTGGTTAATTGTGGAGGTGCTCTGACATTTTTCATTTGTCCAGCATCTAGTTTTCTAAGTCTTTAAGAAGTTCTAGTGTTCTTCAACTTAATAGCTACCATTTATTGAGCCCTTTCTGTGGTTCAATCACTGTTCTAACCACTTTGCAGACATTATCTCAAAACAGTCCACTTTATAGATGAGGCGACTGAGACACACAGAAGTAGGAAGCCCAGGACTCCAACACAGGCAGTCTGGCTCTAGAACCCATTCGCAACCCTACGCTACCATGCCCGCCTCATGCTGATGAGTAACGCTGCATTTACGCCACTTATTCAACGTTTATAACCTGAGAGATCATGTACAATCTCAAGGTTTTATTTCTGTTGTATTTCTTGTTCTTTTGTTTTTCCTATAAGAGCATAAGAAAAACAAACTAGTGAGACAGACAGTCTGCACAGACCAGTAGTACCCTGTCTGACAGAGGCATCGAAGAACATTTTGTGAGCCCGGCACAGGGCCTAAAACGCAATTGTTCCTCAATAAATAACTGATTGAATGAATGCCTAAAACATCCTAAATTTGTAAAATAATCTAGATTGAAATGCTTGGATTACTTTGTCTTCCTGGCCTTTAATCATCGCTCTTCCGGACCTTCCTTCTTTACTAAAGCACTGTGTCCAAATCTATATATAATATAGAGAGATCATTTTGATACAAGAGTAGAAAAGTGTTTTCTATGTTTCCAGTAACCTTTCTTTTAAAATCATGAACTAGTCTTTTGGCCACAGTACATGAATCTGCTCTCTTCAAATAGTAAACAAAGACTTTTAAATTCTCTTCCCTGGTAATAGCTTGAAAACCATAACCCTACAAGTATAAACTGGAATATTTTCCCCCAAACACATTTATTTTAAACTTGCACACTATAGCTCTTTTGTCATTTTTCCTTATTCAGAGACTCACAGTCTTAGGCATTTGGCTACTGAGACAGTACTCCCCAATACTTTATGTATATTTTAACTAAGACCAGGCTATAAATGGACCTCTGGAGAACTGTACAACTTACATTTCTTCATCTAAACTAGGCCCAAATGAAAAGTAAACACTCCACCCTCCTCCTATGGGGATACAATCTTAAAGCATTCAGGCACTTAGCTTGGTGGGATGGGGGTGGGGGACACTATTCATATGAATGCCTTTGATAACGTGATTTGCTTTAGTGTTACCTGGCACTTTAAACGCACTTAAAAGACGTGAGTCCCAAGTGTTCCTACTTTATTGCTGCAACACTTAGCATAGTAGCAAGCACATATGGACACTTAATAAATGCCTTCAGCATGAGGACTGCTTGAAATCCAAGAAGCTGATAATTTAGCACAATTAATTTCAGAGAAGGAGTTAGAAAGAAGGAAGAGCATCCTTTTTATGCTTAGTTAGGACTTAAAAGAAAGGTTGAAACTGTGGGAAGAACATGCAAAGGAAACCACCTCAATGAAATGGTAAAGAAGGTCAAATATTCACAAAAGACTAAAATAAAATAATCTCAAAGAAAAGGAAAGGAAAATTGGTTGTAATACACCTTGACCCTCACCTTTAAAAAAAGTAAGGGTCATGTAAAACCTAATGTCAACTATCTTTTTAAAGGTAACCGTCACAGTGCTGTTCACACCATTAGGGAACTTTGGCTGATACTGGCACAGAACAGCTGACCGCAGAAACTGCTGCTGAGAGCTAACATGCGCACTAATGGGAAGTGGTCAGAGGTATTTTCCCACATTCTCTGAATGAACAGACTAGCTGTAAAAACTTTTTTAAAAACCCAGAAAGCCCTAAGTAACAGTAACAGCTATAAAATCTCTTTAAAAGTAAAAAAAAAAAAAAAAAAAAACCAGCTCAAATGCCAAACATCTTTTCTACCTATCTCATCCACTTTTATTTTCACAGAACCAACAGAGGACAGTTTTATTATTTCTCATATCACAAATATGCTATGTTTTAAAATATAAATCATTCTATCAATTCAGAATTCTTAGCCTATCCTTCCAAACAGTTTCCACCAATCACCACCTTCTTCCTCACTCTAGACAAGAAACCTGCTTGCTGAGCATCCCGCTTTGTCCCATTCGTCATCCCTAACTCCCAGCAATGCCTGGGTGTTCCCTTTGGAACATTTACGCTGTAGTTTCCTCTTGCAAGAATCGCCTTTCTCCCCCACTCTACATCATCTCTCTTCTCACCATGTTAGTACTCTCTTCTCACCTTTTTAGAATTACCAAGTAATTCTCTATTTATCTGGGTTACAAGGGTAGGTCACAGGTTATTCCCTTAACTCTGGTATATATTCTACCATGGCGGGGGACATCTATAGGAAAAAGAGATGGTTCAGCATAAACCTACGTGTGAAAACCTCTAACAGCTCTTGGTCTGCATCCTAAGGCAGAAGCTAGCTGTGTTATATTTGTAAAACAAAGGACTGATTTTCTTCATCAACGTTAGATCTTTTTTTTATCATGCTTTCTAGGTCTCATCCATTAATGACATTTGTTACTCACCGATACCTCCTACCAGATACCTGGTAAGTATCTACACACAATGTACGCTCATGAAGTATTCTCAGGCTTACGTCATAAGCATCATGCAGCATTGTGTTCAGTGGGAAACAGAACTTGGGGACACAAATCTTGTTCCAATAGCATTTGAACACCTTTAATATGCATAATTATGTATAAATTGAAGAAAATGTATCTAACTAATCACAGCCAAGTGAAAAAAGTGAACATTTTATTTATAAAGTGCTTTGTTTAAACTAAGAATCACACCCAAAGACACAAATATGTACCCATGTGAAACAGAGGTCTTGAAAACCAAATCTAGGTTTGAAATGAAATTCCATTTCCACAGAAAGACAGATGAAGGGGGGGGGGGCAGCCAATTAAAGTCTGCAAAGTGTCTGGCATATCACAGACCCTCATATGTTTGCTAAATTAGAGCAAAATCCCTAAGTCAGCATGTCTTCTTTTGGGAAACGTGTCAGGACAGGTGAAAATGGAGTTCCCAGTCTGTACACACCCAATGCCAGCTCAGAAACTGGCTGATTTTACCTGATCTCTAGTTTTTAAACTGTGTTGAATGATAAACTTAACATTATTCCTTATCTTTGAGGACTAAAGAGATTATGTTGTGCTCTGAGACTTCTCGAAAGTAAAATTTATGGCTCAGTGATAGATACCTTGAGTCTGCAGAAAAGATTCTAGTCATTTAACCACTATTTATTAATTGCCTACCATGTGCCAGGTGCTGGGGGTACTGGGGGTTTAGTGGTGAGTAAAACAGACAAGGTTCCACCCCTCTTACGAGTTTTCAGCCTCATCACAGAGATATATAATGACAAATTACAATAAATGCTATAAAGGAAAAGAACAGACTACTATGAGACCATATATCATGAAGCAGTTTTGGGGTTTTTTTTTAAAAAGATTTTATTTTTCTTTTTTCTCCCCAAAGCCCCCCAGTACCTAGTTGTGTGTTTTTAGTTGTGGGTCCTTCTAGTTGTGGCATGTGGGATGCCGCCTCAGTGTGGCTTGATGAGCGGTGCCATGTCCGCCCCCAGGATTTGAACCAGCAAAACCCTGGGCCACTGAAGCAGAGCACGAGAACTTAACCACTCGGCCACGGGGCTGGCCCCAAGAAGCAGTTTTTCTATGGATATTGTCTTTATGTTAAGTAAGATCTGAGGAATAAAATGGGAATTGACTAGGCAAAGTGAGCCTTGAAAAGTCAGAGCAAGGTAGCTGTGACAATCTGAAAAAAGGCCTGGGTGGCTCAAGTGTTGAGAGGGAGGGTAAGAGGGGAGGTTGGAGAAGCAGACAGGCAAGATGTTAGTCTATATTCTAAGAGTAGTGCGAAATGATTTTAAGCAGTCGAATGACATGACTAGATTTGTATTTTCAAAAGATTATTCTAGCTTCAGTGTAGAGAATAAATTAAATGAAGGTCATGGGAGACTACTATTATGCCGCAAGACAGAGATGATGACTACCTAGACCAAGGTAGCAGAGAAAACGGGCTGAGAAATGGGCAGATCGGGAGTTATTAAGGATGTAAAATGGACGGGCCTTGGTAGAGCAAGGATTTGGGACGTGAGGCAGAGTGTGTGTCAGGAATGACTCCAAAGTCTCAGTTTGGACATCTGGAATGAACAAGGTGATGCCGTTCTCTGAAATGGAGGACACTCGAGTACGGCATGCAGCATCAGCAAGCAGAAATGAAAGCCATGGAGACAGATACACTTGCCAGGCTGCAGAATGAAAATAACACAGGAGTTTAGGACTGAGCCTTCATGAATGCCACTATCTAATGACAACAAAGACGACAAAGCACAAGCTTCTAGAGAAATGAGTGGAAAAGCAAGAGAGCATGATTTCAAAGCTTCCAGGGTGGTGAGGTTTCAACAAAGAGAGAGTGGTCAAGAATGTCAAATGCTGTTGGAGCATCAATTAAGAGAAGGTCTGAGAAAATGTCCCTTGGATTTCATGACCTGGAGATCACTGACGATCAAGCAAGAATATTTCAAAGAATGGTGAGTTACTCCACGACTCACACCAGCAGAATGTGACCAAAGGCCTTGTATTCACCTATTAAATAAACCCTCTCGTTTTCCCTTCCTTCCTGCTGATCACCCTTTCTTGCTGTGGGCTCCCTCCCTGCCCTCAGTATAGCTTTCCTTCTCATCTCTCGTTCCATCCACTCGTTTTCTTCTTCTCCACACAGCACTGTTTTTCTTCCTTTACCTTTCCCTCCCTTACTTGATTACAATATGGGACTGAAAATATTTCATTTTTAAATTGAATACTTTCTATTCTTCCTGTTTTCAATTTTAACATTTTACACTTCAGAATCAAGGGGGGTGGGAGCTGATGAAAAAATTTATGTGCTTTTATAGAAACTTTAGAACAATTTCTCTCATAGGGTATGTCAACAGTTCCAACAGGAGAAGATTTCCAAAAACACTGAACTCCTCATATAAAGATAGTCTTTTAGCATGTTAAATATTTTGCTCCTATATCACTAACTTCTGGGTATTATGTGGTCAAACTGCCATCTCAGTAATAAATTTTAAGACAAGTAAATTATTAAATAGAATTCATCTAAAGTAGTTTCTCCTGAACACTTCCAGGGCACAAAGGCATTCTTATACAGAAACTCAGAACACAAAATAGTTAAGCATAAGTGGTATTTCACAGAACCATCAAATCAGTCCTTATTAGGGTTTCAGAATTCTCATTATTATTTAACCAATCATCATTCCTTACCCCATCCTTCGTTTTCTTTGGCGGGGGCGGGGAATGACAGACTTTAAAATTTACCATTACTAGGTCAGAGTGCTAATAAGCATAGTATTTTAAGATGTCTTTACTTCTTGCCCTAAACCTCCAGAACTCTTCCAGGTAGTCTTCAAATGTAAAGATTCTATACCTCTTCCTGCATGATCAGGCTCAAGCAAACACTAACACTTCAAAAAGTGAGAGTGGAAAATCTGAGTAGTTGAAGCAGAAACAGTATTTAGCTCCATCTTCCAACTTTAGAAAGAACGAGCCGAGAGATTTCATGGCCACTGTGGCCTACTGTATTATAGATGTTCATTTATGGCTATAACAGAGTTTTAAAATAAGCTGCAAAATAAATGTTTGGTGTAAGAAAACACTACTGGTGGGAGCAAGGTCTCTCCTCACCAAGCCGCTCCCTTCTTGCCAGGGAGGGACAAACCTCAGCTGAGGTTGTTGGGGGCTGCCTGTAATAGCAATAATAATGACTCCCCTTCCCCAATATCTCCTTCAGTCCTCACAGGGGCAAAATGAGAGTTTGAGACACCAAGACCCCATAGCTACAAGTGCTAGAGCCAAGATTCCCCCACAGGCCTGACTCCAAGGCCACTGTCTGTCCCTCTGTGATGCTAGCTTCATCATGAACCTCCCTTGCTGCCTGAACACCGTGGGGTCGCATCCTAGCCCTCCACGAATGCGACGAACCCTCTGTGCCAGTTCCCTGCACCCTGATTTGCAGATTCAGATTTTACTGGCTAATATTTAATAATGTTTTCTATCACAATCCCTCACCCCATCCACTATCTGATATCCTATCCTATCCCTTTGCCTCATACACGATTTCCACCTGTGTTAGGGGTGTATCATGGAGCACCCCCATTCTTTAGTAGAGTTATGAGTATATGTGGGTCTATTCTACTTATTTTTGGATGAAGATTTTGTGATTATCTGAAACGGGCTCTCAGGCAAAGGCACAACTAACCCCAGTGGCCACTGATGTGTGTCCACAGCCTCATTTAGTTAACAAGTATTCTGAGTACCTACCACGTGCTCTGTTCTCGGGACAGAGCAGAGAATAAGCCAACACCTGTGCCCTCAGGGAGCCTAGATTCCAGTGGGGGAAACCATTAATTTTTTTTAAATATACATAAAAATAAATGTTAAGAAGAAAAATTAATTAGACTAAAGGAAATGAAGCTATTAAATAATGAGACTGGACTTCTTGTGTGGTTTAACAGTCCTATTACGTTACTATAAACATATGAAGGGAAGTTACCTAACAGTAAAATGAAACCCCTAATTCGCAGGAAAAAACAAGACAGTAATTCCAAGAATGACAAAATAAAATTAAACTAAAATCAAATCACTCCTCTGTGCTTCTTACAAAAGTACCTTCACCTCTCTGTTAGGTAATTGATAATGCTCCTTACCTCCACCTGCTTTACTTTCCTGTTGCAATATATACAAGGACTTTCAAAAGAAAAGAAACAGAAAACACTATTGGTCTCATCATACTTCTTCCACCATTGATAATTATTATATTCATTTGACTAAGGTTAGCCCTGGAACTCATGAGCTGCAAATCTCAGGACTAAAAACAGCCTGTTCCAGAAGAAGAGTATCTTCAAAAGACAAGGAAAAAAATGGAAAACAAGAAAGAACTGCAAAGGAAAGTGAGAGGATTGCCAGTATTCTTAGATGGAGATAGTGGAATTAAAGAAAAGCGACAAGAATTCTTGGAAGAACTGGATTTATAAGAAAGCATAACATCACCACAATTCATGGTTTGTACAGACAACTTAACTTTTGAATAAATAAGAACCAAACTACTTTAACTCCCCAACCCTTTTGGTAACATAGTTCCGTCTACCAAGAAGTAAGCCCATTAATTAGCAAACATATTAACTATGTTAAAATTCAGAGTAGTGGGTACACTTGTGGTTTCTAAGGCACCAAAAACACAGCAAACTCAACTAAAAGCAAGGCCAATAAAATAACAAGAATAGGTAGCTTATTTAAAATCAAACATGTCTCTTGAATATTCCCACATCTCCTACAGAAATTCACCAGAAAAGGTAACTTTCAGGCAATACTCAAAGATCTAGAAGGAAAGGCAAGAAGCTAGGAGAGGAATTATCTAAAATAATCAAACTGAGAACTATTATTAATTCTACAGCCACATGGATTTTTGGTGGCTTCATTCTCTACCCAGGTACATTATAATATAACTCCTTAAACTTTACCTAAAGGCAGGGGGGGACTAAGAGACACAAGCAATGGCTTAACTGCAAAATATTACATCTAGAGATTACAGCTCTATTAAATGAGGAGAAAGATGTGCACATAACTGCTTGAAAGTATTTTTTTAAATCCTGCACAGAGTAATACAATTTGAACCACAATGAAGTAAAGGAAAATATCAACTTTATCATTGCTTGGATATGATTAGGAACAAGAAAACCTACTTGGGAGAAAAATTATTATTAGTTTGCATCAGTATTAGTTTGGTGGTCATGCAGAATAAATCAGGAGTTTGATCTACGATTACGAACTTTCTTTTTTTTTTACAGAGATTAGTCATGAACAATGTGCTTGCTCCTGGTTCAGGCTCAATTATTTAAGAGAAGACAGAAGAAAGTTTAACAACTTATTTTAAACTATGACTTTTACACCGTGGTCAAACCCAGTAATTTATTTGACTGTGACATTTCTAAATCCCTAATGTTATTGTCCTGAGCATGTAAAACTGACAGGAGGGAGGAAAGCAGGAAGAATCAGAGAAAATGCACTGCAACTTCAGGTTCTTGTCCATCGCTATTCCTTCCGCCCAGGCACATCAGTAAAGCCTAACAGAGGTCATGCCAGCTCTTCCCATAGAAGCCCATGAGAGCCCCCAGTCACCTTCCAACAACGCCACACTTCTGTCAGGCATAAGGGAAGGACAGAAGCTGCTAGCCCTGAGGCCAAACAAATAAAAATCAATGTTTTCAACAACAAATCTAGGATGTAATCCTCTTAACGCATCTTAAAATGCCTGATTTACAAATATTGGAAGGCCAAATGTTTTCAAGAAAGACCGACTGCCAATTTCAGTGTGCTTGGCTCAAATGGGACAAAATTTGCCTATGTAAACGTAAGTTCTCAAACTTTCCCAAACAGCAGTAAACAGTGGTCCTAATGTTCAAGCAGTGGAATCTCCCATGCTCTCAAAAAGAGAGAGCAACAAAGCTCTCAGCAGACTTGGAAGTGAGACTGAGTTCTAAATGTGGTTTGATTTATTTTGAAATCTTAATGAACAGGGAACATATTTAAGCATCCCCCCTCAACTTCTCCAAAAAAAAAGGGAGCATTATCAAGCTAAAAAAAGAGAGAAAGAAAGCAATATTTACTACTTTGGCATTTTGCTGAATTAGTGAAACAACCCACCAGAAAAAGCATCGATTCCTGACGAACATATACAAGAACACAGGAAACAAACAATAACGGCAAGCACTCCTAGTTTCTTCAGAAAAACCCTATGCGGTTCACTCTAACATACTGCAGGCAATCCTGTCTTACAGCAAGCTTGCTCTGCAAAGGGCCAGAAAGTAACGTTTCAGTCTTTATGAGCCATTCACAGTCTCGTCACACTCCTCAGCTCTGCCACTGCAGCACCAGGGCAGCCACAGGTATTACCTAAAACCATGTGTGGTTGTGTCCCAATAAGACTGTATTTGTGGATACAGAAATTTCAATTTCATATAACTTACATGTCTTATGATATACTATATATTTTTTTCCATTTAAAAATGTAAAAATCATTCTTAACTCACGGGCCAGATTTGGCCGGACTACTGTATGCCTTTCACTGCATTATTTTCATCAATGTTTACAGAAATAAAAATTTACAAATGTCCATAGAAATATTTTCTTTCTTGATATTTCATTAATTTCTTTTCTTCAATCCCAGTTCAAGCCTTCCATAGGCACTTTCTGAAGTCCTCATTTTATCAGATTCCTTCCCTCTCTGCACACTCCTCTCCCCAAGGTACAGCTTGCCAGTCCCTTGGATGTTTTTAAATCAAAATGCACCGACGTTAGGAAAAAAAGCCACTCATCGTAATTTTTATAAACCCCACTTCCTTGAACTACTGTAAGGCTCCAAATCCTCTCACGCTCAATCTTTCAGCAAATACAGGTTTGGTCAGTCTTCTTATGTCCTTTCTTTCCCAGCCAACATCTATGTCTAATTCTACATAAGGGGACTCCCGTGAGGTCGTAGCAGTTAGGCTGCCTCATAGAGAAGGCAAGTTCTAATCACAAATACATTTAATCTTTAAAATCTTACCAGTAGCTGTTCAAATGGCTTCTCAGAAACTCAGGAAAAGAGCTATTACTTTAAATTGCTTTTCTCTCCACTTTGCTAGTTAGGTATTCTTTTTTATTTTTAAAATTTATTATTTACTTTATTGTTTTTCTAATTACTATTATTTTGCTATAATAATATTCTTAGGATAATGTTTCAAAATGTTTTAAAAACTTACAATCTCTTTAAATTTAAGGCCACAAAGTTCTAAAACGTCAAATTATTTAAATAATTAAAACAATATAAGCATGCATGCAATTCACCAGTATTAATATTTGAAATATGTTAAAATCAATCATACAATCCTAAACCTGGAAAGTGTCAAGAAATCATTTATTTCATGAAAGTGTCCCTATATGTGGGACAGTGTAAACGTGTGTCTCTGCTGCAGGGGCATCTTTCAGATTAGCACAGAGAACCATTCGGGAGTTTGTGAAAAGCCATGTGGCAGGAGCCTAACGGTTGCTCCTGAAAAGTGACGGGCAGGAGGGGAACAGGAGATAAAGAACGAGATTCACTGTCCACCTCCCCATCCATACAGAACCAGTGTTTAAATGCACCTCTGTTAACACTGCTCCCGGTGAATCAGCATAACAGTAACAGCGAAAACGCCATGGTTGGCAATCTGTGTTTGACTGTGAAGTGATTTCGCCTGAAGACAGATGCCACCCCAAGGAACAAAAGCAGAAAAACAATGCAATATATGACCAGAGGCAAAAACAAGAAAAGATGAGAACTGCAAGGCTCTCTCTCTCCCCCAAGTCTCCCCGGCTCCATCTTTAAAACATCCTGCACAGACGACAGAAATGGTAATTTCCTACACAATACAAAGCAAGAAGCTCTTTGCCTTTTATTCTGCTGCCAAGAATATAAACCAAAGGACTTCTTGCAAACTACCGTACCCCCAAAAACCAGAAACTAAGGCATACAATTCCTGCAAAGGAGCATCCAGGGTACATTAAAGGTCAAAACAATTCCTCAGGTAGTTAACACATTCAATTTTTTTTTACTTCAAGTGCACTAGCCAGGTTTCAATATTAAAAGATATCCTTAAGACCAAAAAAGGGGGTTGAATGTACTGTGTATTTTTATTTGAATACTATGTAGGGAAAGAAATAGAAATACTAAAAATCTCCTCATGAAATTTTCAAAATAAAATGTTACTACTGCTCCTATAAAAGAATTATTTCTTTAACCCTTTAATGTTCTTTTTAACCCCACTCATTCAGTTCTGTAATCCTAAAAAGGCAGACCCACTCACTACACGTTGTCACAAATTGCCCACCATTATTAGTTCAATATCAGATAAACAGAAACCACATTGTCAAAGTTCAAATCTTGCTCTTCACTATATTAAAAGTTTTAATTTCAAAATAATACTAAAAAAGAAAGTAATATTCCTTCTCCCCTCTTCATCACTCTCCCTCTTCCATCTCTTTCGTCACCCCCAAACCCTACCACAAACCACTGACAAACTATCCAATTTCTTTGAAAGAATAAAAATAAATCAAACTATAGCACACACCTCCAGTCATCAGCTATTCCACTCTGCAGTGAACTAGCAAGGCCTCTGTTATTCCAACAGACTTGCCAACCTGGTGATGTTTTCTCAACCACTAACTGGGGGCAAATAGCTAGACTCATACACTCCTTTGCAAAAGCAACGGACGTTTGTCAGCACCGTTTAAACAACTTTACCATAAGCAGGCTCATTTCAAGTGTGCAGAACGTCAAATTTCTATAGTTTCTCTCTCAAATTTTAAGTTTGGTTCTACATAGTTTATCCCTTTTCTTATTTGCCATTGAAAGTTTTTTTTCTGTTATTTCTCAGTTCCATCCCAATAAAAAGTAATGTAAGACACTAAGCCTATAGTTGCCATCTACATGACCCCAAAGAGCAAACACCCAATGAGAAGTAGGAGCAGATTAGCAAGAGTTTCTCATTATTACAAGAACTGGTCTCAGCAATTAAACGTATTCCCATTGGCCTGTCTTGTTATATAGACAAAGAGAGAAACTAACTCACCAATCTATAGTGAATGTAAATCAAAGTTATCATTTTTAAAATACAGGCTAGTAAAAGGCAGAGAGAAGAACAGCAGTAAAGTCTTTGGCTCCTGCCATCTGCCCTGGATTCCTGGTTGCAGCTTCTCTAACAGCTACTTCTCTCTCCTTGTGGGGTTTTACTTGGTGTTCATCGCTCTCCACTTCCACTGCTACTCCTGTAGTTTTTCCAAAGGAGATAAAGCAACTGTATAAGAATGCCAAAAGACATCAAAGCTCTAAGGCTTGCCTGGTTGTGTGTGGCATAGGAGGAAGAGAAGGAAAACGTGAGGTAATGAGGATAGACTGTATTTACCTTATGTGCAGGCCATGCGGATAACAATAGAAACCATGTAGGGCGCACATTTGGTGAAAAAAGAACATGGCAGGCTAATGGGAGGCCTTTGTTCTTCAAAAGGGTCTCCTTTCCCCCTTTTGTGCTTCACTTAATTCACGGCATCTGAGCTCCTCTTGAACTTGACAGACTGAGAGAAAGAAAGGGAGAGGAGGGGGGGGGAGCCGACACACAAAGAGAAGGGGAAAGGGAGACTTCAAAAAGAATTCATCTATAAAAATTAGTTCTACTGCCAGTTTTGATGAAGTTTTGGAACTTTAAAGGAGAGGGTATCATTCAGTGTTTAAATAAATTAAATTTTCCAAGAGATTGTAATGAGTGGTGAAGTAGATAAATAAGGAACAAAATGAATTATATCCTAAGAACTTGCTACAAATTCTTTCTGCTACCTTGCAGTTCTTAAAATAATAGTAAGAAAACATCTGATTTTCAACAATTACACGAAAGAGAGCATTCTACATGCAGGAACCATAATTAAACTTTTTCCTACGTTAGGGGAATTGGGTGATAAACAGCGGCCAAGAACTTCACAAAACCGCCAGCGCCACCTGCAGGAAAAATACAGATGAGCACTCCACAACACAATTACAAAGCCTAAAATGTTTAAAAACGAAACATTCACAACTAATCTTTGACACTTTCACTTTAAAGTCAAGAATTTAAACGTTTTTAAAAAGCAGTGAATAACTTCAGATGAAGAAAAAAATCCCTAGGAACCTTTGGTATTTTAGGTATGCACGAATATAAATACAGAACTGTTGAAAGATCCTTAGCTATGTTATGTATTAATACAAAAGGCTGCTTCAAAACAATAAAAGATCTGGCTATAAAGTAAGATGGCTGTCCCATGGCTTTAAAATGGATTTATTATTTTTTTCTGATTGTAAAACATACATTCATTATAAAACAATCAAACATGTCTGAAATATAGGAAGCCATCCTACTCCCACCGGCAGATTTAGCTTCCAGGTCTTTCTCCCATGCATTTCTTACATATGTCATTTTGCATTGTATGCCACACACACCAGTTTTTCTGGGTTTTACTTTACAACTCCCCCTACTGAATGTATTGTGTGCCTCCTTCCTGTCAGTCCGCATCTCCCGTTTTCCTGGCGGTGGACGGGGCTCCACCATGAGGAAGCGCTAATGATTAGTGATGAGCAGCTGTGGATGAGGTATTGCGATTGTTTCTATTTTTTCTACTTTACAAACAAAGCTTTAAGAAATAGCACTATGTACGTGTATCTTTGCTTACTGGTAAAAATGGTTCTGGAAATTAACAGCTAGAGGTAGAATTCTTAAGTGAAAGGGTATAAACATTTTAAAATTTAATAATATTACCAAATTGCTTTCCAAAAGTTATGCCGTTACCTTCCCAATATTATAGAGAATGCCTGTTTCTCCTGATCCTAGACAACAACAATCTTTCTAATATTTGACACTCTGATAAACACTGCTTTTGTTTTAAACCATTTTAGAACTTTCACACACACTCTCCTTCAAATGGAGAACAGAACACATTTACCCTCAGCGTTTACCGACGAAAATATTTTGTAGAAGCATCAGTTTTAAACTACCTTTAGAGCCAGTTATGACTGTATAGTCATATCTTAATTTCATCTTACAAGAGAATTATTACCCAACCTCATTACTCACCACATCGCATTCAGAAAGCACTGGATACTTCCAAACCCACCTTCAGAAGAAAAGGTGGTACCAATAAGAAGATTTAAAGGATTTGCCACAGGTCTCAAAGGCAACTGTAAAAAACACAGGCTCACATAAACAAACGAATAACCTTTGCAAGGAGAACTATTTTGGAGATATAGCTTTCAACTGGATTTATGTACACAAGCAGATATGTGTGTCAGGTATAGTATATTTGCTTAAAAGTAAGTGTAACTATTCTAATTGCATCTTGTATAGACAAGAAGTTGTACAAGTCTGTGTCTGTAACAGCATAACTAGGTTTAGCACTGACATGAGCTGAAGTCTGAGTTTAATCCCTGAGGCAGGGTTTCTCAACGGCGGCACTACTGACATTTTGGACCAGAGAATTCTTACAGGGGAGGAAGGCTGACCTGTGCACTGTAAAGTGTTTAGCAGCACAGCTGGCCTCTAATGATTAGTGCCATGAGCACCACCCTACAAATTGTGACAACCAAAACTGTCTCCAGACATTGCCAAATGTTCCCGGGGGGCAAAATCCCCCCCAGCTGAGAACTACAACCCTACGCCATCACGTGCTTCCACTACTGCATGCACCATCTCACAAGTTCGACTTAAAAGGTACAAAAATATTTATCAAATTC